GGAGTTTATGATTCTTGATGAAAAAATAATTTTATGTTCAAATATCGATTAAAGATTAATTTAATTGTTTGAACATAATTTTTTTTAATATATGAGTTTCCTATACCACTAGAGAAGATTAATTTAGCATTTTGTGTGCTTAAAAATCGGATTTTAGCATTTTGGTGCAGAGGGAATCGATCCCCCCCATGAGGGAACCGATTCCCCCTTTGAATGGGAACCGATTCCCCCCACAGGGGAATCGATACCCCCCTGGGGTTCTGTTAAAATCGGGCAGAACCCTTCAAAACACGCAAAAACCCTCTATTTTCTTCCTTGCCGACCAAACTCTCTCCCTATCTCTTTTCTTGCCTCAAATCAACGATATTTATCGAAATTCACTTCAAATATCATCTCCTAAACTTGCAATCATCATTAAAATCGTGCAAACAACATCTAAATCCCCTCAATCTTCATCTTTCAAGGTAAATTTTTTTTAAACCCTCTATTTCATTGATTTTGAACATAGGATTAGTCTTTATTAGTTCTAGGTTGAAATAGTGATCGGGCATTGATTGTTTAGTGATTAGAAAGTAGATGTTACAACTAATTTCATCAAAAACACAAGAATTTTCCAAAATTTTTAATTTTTTGAAATTAAAAAAAATGTTAATTTTCAAATTATTGTGTTTTGATTAAATTATGTTGTTGTTATGAAAACTATACATATATTGTTTCTAAAAACCATATTTTTCAAAAGTTTTTCAAAAACTTTGCCCATTAGGATTGATTTAGAGAACCTTGAAATATTGAGGACTCAATTGAGTTTTGGGATTAATTGAATTGCATACATTTGTTTTTAAAATTATAGGTTATTCAATCTATTCCGATTTCATTCACCATGTCTAATCCTAAACGTGCTAGGTCTTCATCTAGTCGTTCTAGTCGTCAACCAAATCCACCTCCTATTCCTTAAAATCCTATTCCAAATCTTGATCCTAACTTGACTATCCAAAATTCTTGTTTCAATCAACCGGGTCCTAAAGATTATCGTTATTGGTTTTACCAATATTTTGACTCATATAAGATTAGGGAAGAACGTATCCCATCTCTTCAAACTATGGTTGCTATTAACTTTAAATATCTCCCTATCTTGCACGAATGGAAATTTGATAAACTTTTCGAACTTGAACCCATTGTCTATCATCAACTTGTTCGTATCTTCTACTGTAATGCCGTTTGTATCAAAAATCGTGACAAAACCAAAACCATAGGAGTACGTTCCTACCTCCTAGGTTAATATTTCCATCTTGATCCGGATTACATAGCCAATGCCTTAGGCTTGGATAATGAAGGTTTATCAAATGAAAAACAAGTTTTAGGCTCACGATATAAACGGAATGATAGTGCAAGTGTTCTAGATCTTCATGAGCGTTTTCTTCATCTCATGATCACTTGGTGGTTTCGACCATCCGGGGGTCGTTATTCTACTCTCAGAGCTTTAGACCTTTGGTGGTTGCATTGTTTTGGACACAACATAAAAATAAACCTTTCCGAGATTATATTTGCTGAGATCATTGAAACCGTTAACCTAGTGCCAAATAAGAAACTCTGTTCTTCACTAGTTTACGGTTGTATCCTTAGTAATCTCTTTTCTAAAGCCGAGCTTCGAGTTGGTCTAGATGCCGCTTTTCCTCTTAAGAAACAAATCAATCTTCTTTCTTTAACAAGAGCGGGATGGGTCAAAAATAAAGAAACCGGTGAATGGGTTCGATCTTCTGCAACTACTCCGGGAGCTAGTTCTTCACAAGCTCCACCCGGAGCTGACGAAGATCCAGAGTTTGACCAATTAATGAGGGATATCAATGAAGCTGAAGATGAGCCTGAGCAACCCGAGGAGCATGCACAACAATCAACTCAAATGCCTCCATATTTTCAATCTTTTATGGAGACATTTGATTACCAATATGCGACCATGGATTCACACTTTACTTCTATAGAGTCTCATTTATCCACAATGGGAGCTCAACAATTAGAAATTCTTCGGGAAATGCATGCAAATAATGAAACAACAAACGCACGTATTAATGACCTCACTAACGAAATGGCCGCTATGCGAGCTCGTTTTCCTCCTCCTGATCCGGATATGTAATTAAATGTTTTACTTTGAACTCCAAACTTATTGTTTTAACATTTTGAATATTTTGGAATGTTTGAATTTGTGGATTGTGAATTTGTTTGGATTTATGGATGGTGTGAACTTATATGTTTGGTGTGATTTATTCATTATTGCATCATTTACATCATTATTAGCAATATGACCAATTTTACCATATCACATTGTTTATGAATATTGATTATGGAACTAATGGCTAACGATTCTCTTGATTGTGATCTTAGCAGCTTATGCATACATATACCTAATCAATTGTCTAAATATTTTTCACGTTTATTTGAATCTTTTTGATTTAACAAAAAGGGGGAGAAGTGTGTGTGTTTTAAGTGTGTTTTAAAATAATAAATGGGAGAAGTGTTAAAGTAAGGGGGAGTAATTTCAAAACTTGGTTTCAAAATCTTAAAATTACTAAAATGTTTTGTTATATCAAAAAGGGGGAGATTGTTGAAAATATTTTGATATTTCGATATAACAAATTAAGTTAAATGAATTTTAAGATTTTCCAAAATGATTTTCTAAAGTATATTCGATAAAATTATTCGAATATCAAAACATTACTCCAAATATTTCAAAAATCATTTTTAATCCTTACTTAAGTGTAAAATTAAGTTTTAATCTTAAAACAATTTTAAAATAATCTTTCAAAGTATTTCGAACCATTTCAAAGACAAAAATTCCAGATTGCTCAAAGGGAACCGATTCCCCCCCAAGGGGGTACCGATTCCCCCATGAATGGTTTGGCTCCGAGATTTCCAGAATGCTCGGAGGGAACCGATTCCCCCATAGGGGGTACCGATTCCCCCCTGTTCAACGATCGAAATATTTGAATTTTACACTTAGGGAACCGATCCCCTATGAGGGGGAACCGATTCCCCCCACGCTCTAAGCTGTTTTATTAATTGTTTTCACACTAAAACGGCTATATTATCTTCATTAATTATCCCCAACATTCAGAAGTGAATCAAGGTGTATTTAAACAAGTTCTGAAGCCCTTGATCAACAAGAAATCATAGAGAAACAAGAGAGAAAGTATCAAACACCAAGTTTGTGCAAATCAAGCCAATTTGCCTTTCAATATTCATTTTGCTTTCAAGAACACCATTTGTGCTCATTTGTAATTATCTTTGAGTGTTCTTTTCTTGTTCTAGAATTGTGCAAACATCTTACCTTGTGAGGTTTTCCTTGTAAGTTTGCAAATTTGTAATCTTCTCTTTGGGAAAGAGTGTTCTCAAGAATTGGTGTATATTCTTGAGAGTGTTGTAAGGTTATCTCTTTGGCCTCAAAAGAAAGAACAAATTAGTGAATTTGTTGGAAAATCCTTAGTGTGGATAGCTAAGGTAGTGGACATAGACTTTGATTGAGAAAGTCGAACCACTCTAAATCGATGTGCAATTACTTTCAATTTTCTGCAAAAGCTTCCACCAAATTTTTAATTGGCAATTCACCCCCTCTTGGCCAATTCCGTCAATCGATTAACTCAACATATGTCGATACAAAATATCACGGCATAATAAAGTTTTCCACATAAGATACCCATTCTTTGCGAATATCATCAATGTCATCATCCGTGTATTCTTCCTTCCCATCGCCAACCAAAGTAAAAAATATGAAATAAGTATATAATGTATACTTATTTAAAGTGAAGCATATAACTATCAAAGAGTACTAAAATGAAAAAAATGGCCAAGAATCCCAAAAGAAATGAGAAGCAGGTTCAACATATAGCGCATAAGCTTCCAACTACATATTGTAATTATTTTTCAGACAGAAATGTACCCAAAAAACTTGTTGATGCCTAAACCTTTGAGAGATTTCAATAATAGTCTTCCCTAGCTTTATATTCGGTATACTGGCACCCATCTTATTCAGGTAATCTACTATTTCCTTCGGTAAGTTGGTCTGCACAGGATTTTCCACACAAACAACAAATAGAAAGAAGCAATGAGTAGTGGATAAACTAATAGAAGCCAAAATTGTAGAATTCTTTAAACAAACACATCATATAAAAAATTCAAGGATTGATTATTAGATTTAAAAGATTAGTCCAATGTATACAAATAGGAAAATGGAAGAAATTTAGATAGCAATAGCACACAATAAGCAGGTAATCATCAGAAACTTAGAATCACAGAGGTTCAAAAGCACTTACAATGTCAAAGATATTAAACAGAAAAAAATGCATATATTGAATAGTAAACCCATGGTTCTGCTCCAACAGATGTTGTAGGGTTCAATATCTCCTTAACATGCTCCCAAAATGGTGAACCAAGGATACTACCAATAATACAATGTGTTAAGATCATTTTGGATATTCAAAAAAAAGGATAGCTTTAAGGTAAGTCCGTAGGATAAGACAAACAACAAACCCAAGATATGTTATGCATCAAAAGAATACTGACCCAAAAATGTGAATAGAACAGAGGATTCAAAATAAGTTTTAAATCACTTCAGGGCACAATTACCTTGCAACAATACTTGAAAAAACCAATAGATAAGTGGTAGTGAGAACAGGATGCATTCTTGATGGATTAATATTAAAAGAAATATAGGGTTCTACTTTAGTGATCGGGGTATCTTCCCTATCCAACACACAAAACAAAGAAAATATGACATTGAGAAAGAACATATAACCATTATTATAAGTTAATAAACAAACAATGAAAGTTACAAATCTCTTAAATGAATTCAACAATAGTAGTCCTAGTTCACATAAAATTAGTTACTGCTCACTGCTCGAATTAGCCATGAACTATACTATCTATGCTGCACAAAGAAGAATCGAAACCAAAGCCTATGTGTCTCCTCCAAATGCATCTAATGTCTAGGTAAGTAGCACTAACTTTACCTTGCATCAGATGCTAGTTTAAACCCATAGTACTGCAGCATTATTTTCCTACAACCCTCAGTTACAACAACTGCCCACTTGGTGACTACAGTAAAAACACCTAATACAGCAAGCATGTACATACAAAGATTTTATTTTGCACACAATATTTTAAACTAATATGTCCTTTCCATCCAGGTGTGTACACAAGAAATCAGTGGATAGACCGAGAAGCTCCTACAAAGAAGAAAAAAAATACTTGCTTCATATATATGACAATAGTTGGCAGAATCAAAGAAAATGGTAAGTACAAACAAGAAGCATCCATAAACTAATACAAAACAATTATTGGTAACCTGCAACAATCCTAAAGATATTTCAGACATTATTTGGAAATAACAGAAAATAAGCAGTACAGGACAAAGAAAGTCTAAACAATACAATTGAATATTTATCTTTTTTCACAATTAAAATATTATATTCCTCAGCATGTAGAAACTCTATGAAATTGCTAGACTGGGTATCAAACTTCTATAATGTGATGGTACTTGTCATGGAGCATCATAATATATACAGAAAATAAGTTTACAAATATTAATAATCCTCTAATATCAATAGACATGAGAACGTTCTGGCACGGTGACATTAAATTTCACCTAAAGATAGCAAGTATAATATTTATGCCTAAGCGGTTTAGGTAAAAACAACACCAACCAGAAAAGGTGACAGTGGATTCACAGAAAGTCAAGATAGATTACCTTATGTCTCGATTCCAGATGTGAATTGGACTCAAAGTTTCATCATGCATATCATTTCCATAATCATAACTTGACATCATAGATGACAAATATAGTTGCAAAATGTGACTACCAAGAATTTTAGCAAACATAAAGGCAAGAATAATTCACTTGAAGAAGACAACCAGGAAAGGGAAGTTCCACCACCAAAAACCGAGCATGATTCATGTTTTACCTCAAGAGTAATGGACCCACAAAGGGCCCTGAATTTTGTTACGGCCAAAGCCATCTCAGGTTTATGATTAGCATCTTTATAGAGATTTGGCTTCAACTTATGCAATTCTTTGGCCAATTCTTTATCCGGATGTGCCTGTATTGAAAGGGGTTTTTCCACTGAAAGTACCTATATTAAATCATATAAAACACGGAATCAGGTTGGGATTTTACTTGCAAAAGATAAATACCAGAAGAATAAAATGATCATATTGTAGTTAAAGTTATGTTGGTTTCCATTTTTAACTGTCAAGCTTAATTCTTTGCCATTAACATCTCCAAGATCCATTCTAGTTCCCTAATTTCTATCTTGATCGCTTTGATCTAAACTTAAATTGAGATGAAAACAACCCAAAAAGTAAAATTTTACACTTCTAAATACCAAAAGAAGCAAAGGGGGAAATAATAATGGACATCACAAAAATGGTAAAAATGGAAATTTTAGATGAATGGTGAGAATTCAATTTCCATGAATACTGAAGTAAAAGTACTCATTCGTTATCAGATAACAATATACAATTTAGTGATTAATGATTTAGTGAGTACTATATAAATATGGTAAAGCCTCTCATATTCCATTTCCAAGTACTAGGTTGTCGCTTAAAATTATCATTTAACTACGTACAATGTCTATCTCTAGTTGAAAGCTGTAATTTTAAAATAAAAAAAGAATAAATGTTACAAACCTGCAGATAGTCCTGATTGGATTAATGGAGTGTTATCTGTAGTCTAATATGAGATTACATGAAAAGATTGACATCTTATTTTTATTATTAGGAATTAGAAAAAGACAAAAACCCTATGGAAAGACAAATTCATTTTTCAGAGTCACTCAACTTTGGGATCTAAACAAAAGACAAAACCCAAATGCAAAAATGAGCCATATCTTTCTCTTCCTTGTCTTGTTTTTCAAGGATTTTATGTTGTTTATACAACGAGGAATATTTAAAGTTATCAAGCAACGAGGAATAAGATCAGTCCACAACTGCATACGCCATACCAATATTTCCTGAGCTGTGAAATCTTGGACGTTTTCGATGGATTCAAAGTTATATATAAGAATGAGGTTATGTTACTTTCAAATGCAACCTATTCTAATTATATCAGTAGTTTCAGCATAGAAAATAGCTGATTCAACCATCATCCAGGCTTCTCTTATCATCCTACTTGTTTTATCGACAAATATAATGAATGTAGAAGCAAAGAGTTATGGTGGCCGTAAGACAATGCATAAAACAATGATTTATATAGTTATGGCCATTACCATTAAAATGAAAAAGAAAACTCATTAACCCAATTCCAAACACATGCACACAAAAATCAAAATTCAATTTCCAAGTAATCAAAGGAAACGAGAAAAAAAAAGAAATTCCCAAATAGAAAATAGAGAAATACGTGTAAAAGAAAAGAACAAACCTTGAACAGAAAAGGAAGATTAGGCCCCCATTTTTTCAAAACCTTATGACCAAACACATTCGTATTCTTCAAAATCCAATCTTTTAAACCCAAATTCCCACCTTCTCCATTGTTATCAGCCATAAAACTTGGCCCTGAGTCATGGGTTCCCATCCAAAACTCAGCATATGGCCTATCAGGCTTAATCTCAAACCCAGAATTCAAAGCCAAAAGCCTCGCCACCTGTGCCTCCATCCCACATCTTCCCCAATCGTAATTATGAACCCAAGATCTTAGCCGCTTCACCTTCTCGACATTAGTCTTCGCCCTGAACAGAACCCCCAGAAACGAACAAAGGAAACTGATTTTGAAGAAAAATGAGAAGAGAAGAGAAGAGAAGAGAAGAGAAAGGGATACGAGAGAATGATAATGCGGAAGGGAGGGGGCATTTTTTGCTGGTATTTGAAAAGTTTGAAAGGGTACGTAGAGAGAGGGAAACAGACTGGAAAAAGAGACCGAAAAAGAAGTGAAGATGAAAATTATAGGGGGAAAATTAAAAGACGACCTTTAGAGATGACACACAATGAAAAGTGTACTATGTGTATTTACTAAATTTTTTAGATTATGACTATTAAATATGACACACATTATTGTAAGTCATAAATCGTTAAGATTTTAATAAACATGCCATTTTTTATGACACACATGTTTTGCAAGTCATAAATTAGCGTGTGTCATCGTTCGTGGTCTTGAGTCTGTTTCGCCAAATTCAAACCCGGTAAGTTGTTTTTCACTGATTAACCACCCAATTCGATTCGTTTTTCACAATTAAGCTTCGTTTCTGATGAAATTTATGTTTTTGTATATATGAAAATTATTGGACATTGAATTCAAGTTGAGTGCGATGTAATGGAGTTTAAATGGCCGATCAATATGGCATTAAACCCATGTAATACTCTGCTACCTTTTGTATGCTTTTCAAAACTCATGGATAGGTGTATCTAACTATCATCAATCTCAAACGTAAATTGGAATAAAGACAAATAATTATATAGGACTCAGACGGTTCGATTAAGAGAAATTATAGACTGAAAGGAAATAATTTATGTTCAATGAGTTAATCAATCAATCTCAAGATTCATAAACTATGATTAATATAGTTAAAGGTTAAATATCGAGAATTATATGGATAAGAAATTGTCTAAAATAGTCCTAAGGGATAAAATTATGAAAATGCCCTTGTACTGGAAAGGACCAAGGCTTCTCCGGAAGGTGAAAAATAAACTCCGAAAGGACATATTGGATCAATTATCAAAAAATTGTATATGATTCAATAGAAAAAAATTAATGAAATGTGCTCGAGCTTCATAATAACCTCTAATGATCAAAAGAGCAAAATACCCTGAACTCTAAAGGAACTAGAATACATTCAAGCATAATTTATCAGAAAGTACGTTACTGATATATTTGAATGAAATGATGATGATACGCTTAAGGAGTTAACACAATAGATGATTATGTTAAGGAGACTACTTGAGAACTCATATTCTGATACACTGGAGCCCTGGAATCATTGAATTAAATTTTGGATCTATATTGGAATTATAGATTACCTTTGAAGTGTAAAATGACCAAAATACCCTTGGAATGCAAATGACCCAGAATATTACCAAGCCTAGGAATGATTGGATATCCTCAATCTCTGAAGTGACTGGAATAATATTGAACACCAAAATGACCAAAAATACCCTTATGGCCTAAAATAGGTAAATGTCTTGGATTACTTAAGGAATCCAAATAAATATGGATATTGTACTGCCCTTAAAAGTTATGGAACAAAACTTAAGTAGGCCGACCAACCCTAATGCCATGTCAGTACCTGAATGGCATCGATACCACTTGAATGCTTGTTCATCTCCTTAAGTTTTGAGCGATTATAATTCTTGAAGTACTCAGCTCAGCTCAGTTCTAGAGCGCACTTGGTACTAAGAAGTGGATATTCGTTAGACAAATCAACCACAAATACCAAAATGACCTTATTATATAACCAAATTGAACTTTACGGAAGTACAATATGTATTCGAAATTTAGAAACGTCAGAATTACTCTGGAAAACTCTGAAGTATCCGAGATAGAATTGACTACTAAATGAACTAGGTAACCTTAATGACCAAGGATTTGATAAGTGATTTGGATGAGTTTGGGAACACTAATGAACTTGCATGATGCACTGTCCCTATAGGTTATGAACCAATAATTAAGTACGTCGACAATTCTTGATATTGTTACAATGTAGAAAGGAAATAAAGATTATTGGAATATCTGTTAGTCTCCTTAAGATCTATTCAGTGACGATTCTGAAGATTATCTATGGACAAGAATTTTTGTTATTAAAGAGTGAATACCTTGGAAAGGCAATGAATTGACCAGTTAATATGCATCAGTTCTGGAAGTTGTTCAGCTCGAGTTGTTCCATAATTCAATCAATCGACATGGATTGTAAATGTCTTGAATCTTCGTTTCTCCCTTATCAGCTCAAATCACTCCTGTAATATCCGAGCATGCAAGTAACTCAGATGCAAAGGATTTTGAATGCCCCATTTAATTCAATTGGACTGAAATCCTGTTAATTCAATGTATACTCCTGAATACCCATGATTGTTTGGGTAATGGAATCACTCTCAGTAAATTTGAATCTAGAATTATTCTGTATAAATGTTCCTGAACACTTTCCTGATGCACATGAATCATAGTAGGATTCTAAAGTATCAACCTTAAATATCTGATTAGATCATATAGTAATTGATTTCTTTTAATAGGACCTCATTCCTAGAATCCAATCAAATTACATCAATTTCATGTTATCCATTCTGATAATTACCAAGTGTCTCCGAGAAATACTTGGATCCTCTAGTGTGTTCCACATGTACTACATGACGGTTTTATATGTTTTGAATTGAGTTTTAACGAAAGTATTGATTTACTGGTTTATTAACCATGGCAACATGGTATGTGATATCTGATTACGGTTTTCATCGAAGAATATGAATTGTTCCTGATTTATGGAATCACGAAAATTATTGGTTTGTGAACTACGGTTTTATGTTTTCACTGGTTATACTCGAACTGTTTTGTTGGGATATTATATGGGTAGACTGGAGGTACAACTCTGATCAAGCTGGTAAATTCTTACGGACCTAAGGTGATCCTTGGGTAGGCTCTCATGCCCCACGACACTCCCTTGGGTTAATCATGGAACTACTTATAGTGTACAGGTGGAGATCAATTATACGATTTATTTCATTATAAAGGTTATGACATATTACTGGATCACGATCCTGATATTACGATTTACAGCTAAAATTGATTTTTACTGAATATTTTATATGGGTAGGATTATGGAGTATGGAGGTACATCTCTGATCCAGCTGGTAAATCCTTACGGACCTAAGGATACCCTTGGGTAGACCCATAGGGCCCAAAACATATCCTTAGGTTGGCATCCTTTGCTGTGTGCTTAGGGTAAGCCCTACGGACGCAGTTCTGGGGAACTGCATAATGGAGTTTGGTTGGAGGGTTCCGCTATGATTTTAAAAAGATTTATATATTTACACTGGTTTTGATTGGAACACACTAGACATTCTAATCGACCTCCTGAAAACGTGATACTATGAATGCTTCATATGAACTGAGATCTTCATGGCTTATACTCTATGAACTACCAGTGGAACCCCAGATTATCTCGAAAACCGATATACGTCTGATTCAATAAGGAAATTATATGGCTTTTTATTTATCTGCATGTCATGTAGCATCAAATGATAGTATTGTATTGTTGAGCTTTTCAAAGCTCACTCTGTTACTCACCTTTTCAGGTTAAAAGAATCGTACCAGTGCATCTATTGACACCAGTAAGGGAGTTATTCTGGCGTTTCTTGTAGAGTATGGTACATGTGATTGGGGGGCATGTATTTTGTATTTTGTTTTTATATCTGAGTCTGGAAATCTATTTTATTTCTGAATATTGGGAAATTTTACTTTTGTATGTATAAATGATTTTATGAGTTTACATGTTTTAATAAAAGTTTTAAATTTTCCGAGATTTTACTGTGGGTCACTCCGGTGGCCTTAATGTGACAACCCAGATCAGATCAGGTCCCCCGCACCGGTCAGGGGTGTTACACAATGATTGAAAATGTGGTCAAAGGGACACATTGAATTCTTTTTTAGAGTTAGAGGGTCACATTAATAAAAAAAAATAAGATGAGAACCACATTAATTTTTTTAAGTTAAGGGACCGTGCTTTTTACTAATTTAATTGACACCAAAATAAAATGTTTGTAACTTAATTGATAAAATATTTTATTTTGTGGTTAAAATGAAATTAACCCCATAATTTTATTTTGTGGTCAAAATAAAATTAACCCATTTAAACTTTTTTTTTTGGATAAATCCATTTAAACTTTTACTTCATTCTTTAAAATGATAAAATTAAAAACAAAAACTGAAGGGAAGGACAACAGATCTCCCATTTTCGACAATTTATATCTTCTTCTTGCACTCTGGTATTTAAGAGGCCATGTGATTTGAAGATAATTATCGGTGATTATCTCATCCTAATATAATTTCCTTCTATAATTTCCTTCTTTCTTCTAAACCCATTCTATATTATGTATGCTCTCTAATTTTCCTTTCATATTTTTCTTATTTTCTTTGATTCTGTTGTTGATTTTTATATATACTTATTTTCGTTTCAATTGAAAGACACGCCATTTTTATGCATATCGACTTCTGACTTTCTGAGTCTGGTTTCCAAGAATAGTTGAGGAAAACATAGTTTATTCGGTTGAATATGTAGTTTGATTTCATCCTTCCCCCTTTTCAATTGAAATGTTCTTCAGTATCAGGTAGGTTATTCGGTTGTTTGATTTGATTCTTAAAAGTTGATTTTAGAAATTAAAGTCTCGCGGGCATGAGTTTCGTTTTCTTTATTTTCTGATTTTAGCTTCATCCATGGTTAGAAAATTGAGAATTACTTTATTTTTTCGTTTAGTTTTTCAGCTAATAACAGGGCAATGATGTCTACAATATTGTTTTCTTTTTTTTTTTTGAAAGAAATTTATGTTATTGTTTCTTTGGTTGTTCTTGTGCAATTAAGCTAATGGAAGCTAAATGATATTTATACTATTGTTTTCTTAGGTAGATTTTTTGCGATTTGTAATATAATGAGTTGAAATGGGGGTTTCTGATAATATGCTGCATAAAGTGATATCAAAGTTGGCAAGTGGTGGTCATTCTGAGGCAAGGTTGGGAAGGGTGCCATCTGAAAATGGTCACATTGCCCCTGCCCCCATGTTTAAGAAGCGTAACGTTTCAGCCGTTCGGGATTTTCCGCCGGGGTGCGGAAGGTTAGCTGCCCAAATAACCAAACCAAGTGAGCAAGAAGAAG